CCAGTAAACAAAAGGCAAATCCTTAAGGTTTGCCTGGAATATAGTTATGTGAGCCAAATCCTTTACTGGCAAGAAGTTCTAGAAAACTATTTCTGTAAGTTTTTAAGTATTGGGATTTAAATGTGTTTTCTGATTTGTTATTATTGATGATTTTTCTTAATAAAGAGTTCTTTTGCTAACCATACAGCTCTTGACAATACTTGAAGCCCTTTGGATCCACATTGGGTTTTAACTTGGAATGAGTCAGAAGAAAAGGATGTTTCTTGGGAGGGAGAGCAGTGAGAACAGGAGAATATTGTCACAACAGAGTAAGTGGCTCGTAGTGAGTACTCTGCCAGCTTGTTATGCCTCCTCGGGTGTGAGGAGCCAGCCTGCTTCATGAATTCCAGCTGCTCATGGATTTGAGTGAAGCATGCAATCATTCAGAAAATAAATGTTTCCATCTCACATTCCAGCTCTCCTATTCAAGTGCTCGAGCAGACTGCCTATCTCTGGGAGCTATTGAGGGTGTGGATAGGACCCAACATTGTTTTAGTGTATGTACTCCTGTGAATGCCACAGAAAATGCCCACCAACTTGTGGCTTAGAGCAGCACGGATATTCTATTATATTATAATATTTTAGAGTTTGGAAGGTCAAGAATCTAGGATGAGTCACCTAGATTATGATTAAAGTGTTGACGGGAACTTCTGGAAATCCATTTCTTTTCCAGTACCTAGAGGCCTTCCACAGCCCGTTTCTTGGTTTCTGTTAGGAATTTTTCCTAGTGCGAGCTCTCTGCCAATGCAAAAATCCCAATCAAGCCAAATCACAACAAGCCAAATTAAAAATATCCAGGTTTAATGGGATTCCTGCACTCGCAGGTGGCCACGGGGGGGGGGGGGGTCGACCGGGAGACCGTGAACATGACCACGGTGTGGGGGGGAGAGACCACCAGGGGACCTTCTGGGGAAGCAGTTTAAGTAGCCTGGAAGAGTGGTCAAGATTTTGGCAGGCTGTCTTGACACTCCTCCAGGGAGGGGTCAAGGCTTGGCAGGCACAAGGACAGGGCCTCCAAAGATGGAGGCCAGAGACCGGGACTTGGGACTTACAGTTTCTTTGAGACAAAACATCTTTTTTACTTTCTGTTCACTTCTAGAGACTTGGGGTCCACTTAGAGAATTCTTGTCTGTGTGTGTGTGTGTGTGTGTGTGTGTGTGTGTGTGTGTGCGCGCGCGCTTGTCTTGGAACACATATGTACATGTGTATATGCATGTGGAAGCCAGTGACAAACCTTTGGTTTCATTTCCAAGAGCTGTCCACCTTGTTTTTTGAGACAGTGTCTCATGTGGTTGTAGTGCTTTCCAATTCGGCTAGGCTGGCTGACCAGCAAGCTACTGTGTTCTTCCTGTCACCACCCACCCAGGACTGGGGTGATAAGTGCACACCACCATGCTTAACTTTTTTTTTTCCTTTTGGTTTTTCGAGACAGGGTTTCTCTGTGGTTTTGGAGCCTGTCCTGGAACTAGCTCTTGTAGACCAGGCTGGTCTCGAACTCACAGAGATCCGCCTGCCTCTGCCTCCCGAGTGCTGGGATTAAAGGCGTGCGCCACCACCGCCTGGCCATGCTTAACTTTTTATGTGGTTGCTAAGACCAAATTCAGCTCCTTGTACATACATGATTAGTACTTCACAAATTGAGCCCTCTCCCAAGCCCATTATTATCATTATTATTTTTATTATTTATTACTATCTTTGATAGGTCTCATATAGCCTAGGCTGCCCTTGAATTCTTTAAAAAATTTTTTATTACATTTATTGTGGGGGAGGGGCCATGTTTGTGTCATAGCACACATATAAAGTCAGAGGACAAATTTTGGAAGTCAGTTCTCTTCTATCTTGTGGATTCCAGGGATTGAACTCAGCTTGTCAGACTTGGTGACAAGTAACTTTATCTGCTTACCCACCTGGCTCAGCTCCGACCTTGGACGCTATGTAGCCTAGGTAGGTCATTAACTCCCAGTTCTGTCTCTGCCTGCCTTCCAAATACTGGGGATTATAGCATGCACCACTATGACCTGCCAAAATCTAATTTTAAAATCAGTTGGGTCACAGATTAGCGACCTCAGTTCCCCTTTGCCATGTTTGTTGGCTTTTTTTTTTTTTTTGAGACCGTGTTCCACTGTGTAGCCCTGACTGGCCTGGAAATTACTAGGTAGATCAGGCTGACTTCAGACTCACAGACATCCTCTCGCTTCTGCCTCTCAAATCTGAGATTGCAGGTATATACTACCACACCCTCCTGTTTGGTTGTTGAGACAGGACTTTCCTTATGTCACCCCAGGCTAGTCTCAAACCCACTATGTCTCCCAGGCTAGCTTTGTATTGTTGCTCTTCCTGCCCCAAGTACTTGGATTACAGACATGTACCACCGTGCACAGCTAGTCCCTTTTACCATGTAAAGTGACCTGATCGCATGTTCTGGGGATTAGAGCATGGATGTCTTGAGGGGTCCAGTTTTTGAGGCCTGCTACAAATAATGCTTATCTTTATCAGTGTACCATTACTGATACTTTAATAAGCAGGATATATTATTTTAACATTTTCCTCTTGCTTTTCATTTTGTAGAAGGATGGAGTAGTCTTTGGAGCACCGAGACTAGATGTGACTGTAGGCATATATAGCGTAGGGCAAACTTCCCCAGCTAACTGCTTCCATTCCTTTTCTCCTGGGCTCTAGCATATCTGCAGCTTCAAACAAAGTCCAGCCTGTCACAGAGGGTCATGGCACATCTGTGACTTGCCTGGGAGGACTGATGTGCAGTGGGTAGCCCTGTCACCTGCCATTCTGGAAAGCTCTGGTTATTTTTTTCAATTGTTTTTATTGAGCTATACATTTTTCTCTGCTCCCCTCCCTCCCTCTTCTCACCTCCCCCTCAACCCTCTCCCATGGTCCCCATGCTCCCAATTTACTCAGGAGAGCTTGTCTTTTTCTACTTCCCATGTAGATTAGATCTATGTAAGTCTTTCTTGGGGTCCTCATTGTTGTCTAGGTTCTCTGGGATTGTGGTTTGTGGGCTGGTTTTCTTTGCTTTATGTTTAAAAACCACCTATGAGTAATATGATATTTGTCTTTCTGGGTCTGGGTTACCTCGTTCAATATGATGTTTCTTTCTTTCTTTCTTTCTTTCTTTTTTTTTTTTGATTTTCGAGACAGGGTTTCTCTGTAGCTTTTTTGGTTCCTGTCCTGGAACTAGCTCTTGTAGACCAGGCTGGTCTCGAACTCACAGAGATCCGCCTGCCTCTGCCTCCCAAGTGCTGAGATTAAAGGCATGCACCACCCCCACCCATCAATATGATGTTTCTAGATACATCCATTTGCCTGCAAATTTCAAGCTGTCATTATTTTTTTCTGTTGTGTAGTACTCCACTGTGTAAATGTACCACATTTTCCTTATCCATTGCTCTGGTTATTTTTTCCACTTCGCTTTAGACATGGAAAATGCTCCTGTTGACCATTTCTTCTCGGTGGCTATGTGCTAACTACTGCTCGCAAACCATCAGGCTCTGTTGCTGGTGTGTGTGTGTGTGTACATGTGTACACGTATGTGAAGGTCAGAGGAGCATATTGGGTGTGCTCTATTGCTCTCCACCGTATTTCTTCATGAACCCGGAGCTCATATCTTCCCCCAACTCCAAGCTGGCAGGCAGCCAACCTACCCCACAGTGTTGAGGTTACAGGCACACTTGGTCATGCCCAGCTTTTTCAAAGGTGTTGGTGGTCTGAACTTGGGTCTTCGTGTTTGCTCGGCAAGCATTCTTCCCAACAGAACCATCTCCTCAGCGCCATTTTCCCCACCTTTTTCCCAAGCCTATTTCTCCCCAGTAAGATCCGGTATTACCCAAATAAGCAATACAAGGTTCTCTGACTGGCCTATGATCCCATTGCCTTATCCCAGGCTATCCTACAGCCTCATCACCATCAGTCCTGTGTAGCTCTGGCTTGCCTGGAACTTTCTCTATAGACCAGGCTGGCCTTGAATTTATGGAGATCCACCTGCTTCTGACTCCCAAACACTGTTCTGTACCACCACATCTGGCGAAGCTAAACCACTTATCAACTCCCCAAAGCATTGCTGTTTTCAGCCTCTCTGCCTCTGCTGCTGCCCTCTCTTCTGCCTAGAAATAAAACACTCCTTCAGTTTCTTACCCCTGGAGATGCCACTTGCCCCTTGAACCTCCAGGAAGCCACCCCAGACAGCTCTTGCCACTAAGCTCAGTCATGGACTCAGCGTGTGCCACCCCTTTGCTTTGTAGCATAGATTTATTGGCATTTGTTCATTTTTACTGCACTTTCCCTGCTGGCCGGAGCTGCTGGGACTCAGGAGTTATGGCTTATTGATGTCTAGTAGCCCCAAAGTGTCCCTAGACTTATTCACTGCCATCACCCAAGCCCATGAGGGTGTCTAGCAGCTTTATACTAAGACAACAGGGGGTCCAGCAGAGGGCACAGCAGAGCCTAGGAGGGCAAAAAGGTAGACTCTAGGTCAGGCAGGATGAGGCAGGAAGTGCACTCCTGAGCCCAGTCAGACCCCGCCCAAATGATGACTGGCAATACACCCTGGTCCTCATTATCTCGTTTATTGCAAGTTGAAGCAGAGTTTTAGGCATAAAAGTGTGCGGATATTGACATGCAGGGGACCACAGGCACATTCAGTGGCAAGCAAGGGCTGGCCCTCTCCGTGCGTCACCTCTCACTCCCCTCACACAGGGAAGGCTGAGTTCTACTTGCCGAATTCGAAGGGTAGTGGTGCTCCAGGCAGCTAGCTCTGAAATAGCAGGATGGGACATGGCAGCTGAGGCAGCTGGGAGGGTAGTTCTCAGGAGACCTGGAGGTGCTGGGCTGTCAGTGGGTCCCAGCAGCGACGTTCTGTGTGAGTCAGAGCTAGCCCAGCCACAAGGAGGAGAAGAACCTGCATGGGTTAGGACCTGGGTGGCACAGGCTACAGTTTCACTCCAGAGTTACAAGCCCAAGTAGGAGGCCTCTGTCGTCTCAGACCACGAAGATTCCCGCCATGAAGATGATGGCTGACGTTGGAGCCCTCTCTGGTCAGAGCGGCCCAGGCGTATGAGGAGCATCCACATTTGTTCTCTGAACTTCACCCCCACAAAGGCATAGAGCAGTGGGTTGAGGCAGCAGTGCAAGTAGCCCATGCCCGAGGTGACTGACTTGGCCACGTCCACGTGGCTTTCTCGACCACAGTTTCGGGCCAAAACTCCCAGGTCCATGAGGATATCCACCAACACCACCAGGTGATAGGGGGTCCAGCAGACAGCAAAGGCCACCACCACCACCACCACTAGCTTTATGGCTCGTAAGCGCCTCTGGCCTCTGGAGACCAGCAGCACAGCCAGGATATGGGCATAGCAGTAGGCCATGACTACAAGGGGCAGCAGGAAACCGGCCACCAGCTGCAGGATACGCAGAGCCGTGTGACCCACCTGGGGAAAGTTGTACTGGCAGCGAGTGGCATTGAGGCGCTGATCATAGCTGGCTGACAGGAAGATGAAGTCTGGGAGGGCAAAGAGCAGACAGAGTCCCCAGACAACTATGCAGGTGAGGGCTACGCGTAGCCAGGGGTCCCTGCGGTAGATCTGGGTGGCATGCACTATGCTCAGATAGCGGTCAAAGCTTATGCAGTCCAGCAGGAAGGCCCCTGCGTAGAAGTTGATGTTAAAGAGGGCACCTGCCACTTTTCAGAGGCCAGAGCCGAAAACCCACTGGACAGCAGCGTCTACTGCCCATAGTGGCAGGGTCAATACCAGCAGTGCATCAGCCACAGCCAGGTGGAGCAGGAAGGTGTCTGTGCTGCTCAGGGCAGTGCGCTGGCTCAGTAGCACAGCAGCCACAGCCCCGTTGCCTAGTAGCCCCAGCAAAAAGAGGAGGCTATAGAGGGCTGGCAGGAAGGCTCTGTCAAAGTTCAGACTGAAGTCCTGTGTGCAGGGCGGGGAGTCAAAGACGCTCTCGTTTTCCCCGTAATCATAAGGAGAGGTACTGTTCTCCAGAAGAAAGGCAAAGTCCGAGGCATCTAGCACTTGACGTTCACTAACCTGCCCAAGGAAGGGGAAAGAGGGAAGGGAGGCCGTTCTCTGTAAAGGCCTGGCAACTGTCTTGCCCTTTGTGCCTTGTCATTTATTCTGATGAGTGTTTCCCTTAGCAATAGCTCTGTCAGGGTCAGACCCTGAGCTGTCACTTTCTTTCTCCTGGGCCCACTTCTCCTTAACTCCACCTACTGGGACAGTGATTCGTAGTCTCAAAGGCTGGCGACCCCCAGACCCTTTCTGGATGATCACACAGGCCAGGTGTCCTTTGCAGCAGGAGGAACGTCCTTCCAGGTCTGGAGCCTTCTATTCTCTTTCCCTTCCCTCTTGTGGCTTGTCTGCCTCAATATTGTGGCCACACCGGGATCAAAACCACCTGCCTCCCCAGGTGATCCCTCCCCACTTCAACTTCAGGTCCCTGGCCCTCCTTTCCCCCCTCAGCCCTTATCTGGAGACCCCAGCTTCCTGGACTCACAGAAGGCTTTCCTACAAACCCCTGTGCACCCTACGCACACCATGCACACATGTATACTCCCCGTCCCCTACCCAGAGGCTTTTGCAGCTATGTCGGCACCCACTGAGCTCCCCAATAGGAAGGTCTCCCCAGGCTTATTTCAACCTCTTGGGCTCAAGTGAGCTTTCTGCCTCTGCCTCCTAGGTAGCTAGAACAATGTGGGTATTCCACTTCCCTGGATAGCCGGAATCCTCTTCACCCTTCACCTCATCCCAAACTGTCCCCGAGCTAGAGACCACCAAGGTTGAGTCTCTCCAATGTGACAATTGCTGGTGAGGCATCCAAGCCACAGAGGCAGGAGACATGCCTGCGGTTAGTGGCCAGGCTGGGTTCCTAAATCCCACTAATGCACTCATTCCATGTGGCTTCCTCAACTCTCTGGTGTCCCTGCCTGGGCTGCGGGCCAGTCCAGACTTGTCCCTGGCACAGAAGCTTGGCCACTTGATACTGTAACGTAGCTGAGCTGAGCAGCAGAACTTACCTCAAGGTACATGGTTAGGCTGGCGCTCTGGCTGCGGCTGCTGGGGACAGGTCGCGTGCTGCCTGCTTCTCTGCTTTGGCACTTGTGGTTGGGAACTTACAGTGAACAGAGGAAGTGAAGACTTCACGGCTCAGCACTGCCTCTTCCAAAGGGTTATCTATCTACATCAGCCCTCCACCGGGTCCCTCTGCTGCTACTCCTGTGGTCAGGTGAACACATCTGGAAGGAGTTAGCCAGGAACCTCAGACTGCTACCAAGTCTGCAGTTCTGGTCCTTCTCAATACCATGCACCAACAACTAAGCATGTCTAGGAGCAGGCAGGAAGTGTGATTTGATGGCAGTGACTGGAGAGGGGAAGCCCACCTTCCGAGGGTACCTTCTCCCCAGCAAGTCTGGGACTGGAGGCTCACTAAGACTGGGTTAGAGTGGGGTGTGTCGGGAATACTGCTGTCATCGCTGCATGGGAAGGGAGGAGGTCTCCAGGAGCAGCATGCCACCTCTTCCTGATTTGGGGATGGCTGCCTCTGACCTGGCATGGGTGGACACATATAAAACCGTTATGGATTATAATAAGCTGCGTCATCCAGAATGCCCTATAGTGTCCGGATCAGGTGGAGGTGGTCAGAGCACACTTGGGAACTGGGAAATACATGATAACGTAGTGGGTCGCAGCTGGAACTGCGCGGTGCAGACCAGCGGTGCAGCTGACAGGGCTACAGGCTGTCAGAAACATTGGCGTTCCATCTGGTGGCAGAGCAAGAAAGGCTGGGCCCCAGGGAAGGGTCTGGGGTGGCTGGGTGGGGGGAGGCTCTTGGAGGAGAGAGGAGAGGTCTGAAGCCACACAATGGGGAAGTGGAGGGCAGTCCTGGGGCCAGGTGCAGGGACTGCTTCTGCATCACGCTTCTCGCTCATTGCTCAACAGCTTAGCCCATGTGCTGGTCGGTCTGGGGTTGTGTCCTCTCTTCCAGACCTATCTCAAAGTGGGTGCTCTGAAAAGGATGTGAGCACTCATAGAATTGTTGGTGTTTTGGTTCCTTTGCGACAGCCTCAGTCTGTAGCCCAGCCTGGCTTTGAACTCACAGCAGTCTTCCTGGCTCAGCCTACGCTGGGACTATTGGTGTGCACCATGGCACACAGCATTTGGCAGGAGGGTGGGGTAGTTCACTGTCTTGTAAAAGGATAAACTGATGTATTCATCCAGCTGCAAACAAGTGGCGATCCACGTAGCTGTCACGAGGCTAAATGCAGAAGAACCAGTTCCTACATGGTGGAAGAGGCAAGTCAGAGAATAGTGTCTATACTTGGGTACTGGTTGTGTTCATTGTTGAAATCGTCACACAAAGCAACAGTCCGCATGCATCAGTGCTGGGTAATGGAAGCCAGGACTGTAGAATTTTTTTCAGGGTCTTTGTGACACTGGCTGAACTCAACAGGCTAGCCTCAAGCTCAGAGATCCACCTACCCCTGCCTCCTGCTTGCTGAGATTAAAGTTGTGAGCTACCATGTCTGGCTTAATGTAATTTTTTTTGAGAAAAGAACTGCGATGTAGCCCAGGCTAGCTTTGAGTTCATGACACTCCTGTGTTAGCCTCCCGAGTACTGAGATTACAGGTGTGAACCACCACACTGTGTTGACAGTTTTCAAGCAAACCGCTCCACCAATTCAGTCCACGTGTATGGACATGGCATGGCACCTGTCAAGAATCAATGCCCGTTCTCTTCCTGTGGACAGACAAGACACTTCTCTGAACTAGCCTGTCACCGGCAGGGCTCAAGTCAAAGGGAACTGAGGTCATAGAGGAGGTCATGAGCTGTGTGAACGGAGGGGACTAGGGGGATTCCTGAGGCCAGGACAGTGAGGATGTATAGGACTCCAGCATTTGACTACCTGTAGGGGCAGAGCAGACAGAAGCCTGGCAAACACCACAAAATCCCTTGTGTGCCCACAAGGACCACAGTTTTCCCATGCCTGTTTGTGGCTTACACAGAAGAGAAACATAACTGCAAAGATTATATATTTGTTCTTTCTTTCTTTTTTGCTTTTATTTATTTATTTATTTCTTTATCTATTTATTTATTTATTTATTTTGAGGCAGGGTTTTGCTGCGTATCCCTGGCTGTTCCAGAACTCATTCTATAGACCAGGCTGGCCTCGAACTCACAGAGATCTGCCCGCCTCTGCCTCCTGAGAACCGGGATAAAAGGTGTGCGCCCCCACTGCCCCGCTACTTGTTCATTTTCAAGGACTTAGTCTGCCATTGTGTTCCCTGTCCCAGTTTTGGCATTAAAGGGGACTTTTGCTTTATGAAGGAAGTGGTGGTGGAAATAGATGGTCATTTTAGAAATACCTTTTGTTGGCAGAAGCTGGCAGTCCAGTGTGCTGGTGTGTGGAAGTGCAAAGGGTCTAGGGAGCCCTGGTCTCCTTCCTGGGCCTCAGTCTCATTTGTCTAGGGGAAGATGATCCTCATCCCAGGGTGCTGGGAGGGATGCCAGACTGACAGTCAGGTGTGGAGAGCCTTCCTTTCTGAGGCCCAACTACCAGGCATCGGGATCAGGCCCTGATAGACCAGCTGGGGCCCTCGCTATTCTTGAGAGACCTGCGCAACTGCTGTGCAATGGGCAGAAGACTGAAGTTGTCTGGATTCCAGGCCCCATCCCACTGCTGTGACCTTGGAGAGATCAGAACAAAACCCAGGCAGTGCCCTCAGCAGAGTTGCTCTAAGATTAGCTGAGGTAACCACAGGCTTGCGCAGCTAGGCCTTTAGCGCTGGGAGGGCTTAGTACAGGTCCGGCTGAGAGCTCCACGTGAATACCAGAGCCGCCTGGAACCTTCCATACCAAGAGAGCCCATGATAGAGGGTAGTAGCTTATGAGGCATGTAAGTGTGGCTTGGGCCAGGGCCAGAGGGCTAGTCCTCCATAAAAGTGGTCCTTGGCCTTGATTTACAGAGGGGGCCCTGCCAGTTCCAGCCAGATTCCCTGACTGTCCAGCTGTGCGACTCCGGGAAAGCGGTTCATCTTTCTGCTTCAGTTTCTTTGTCTGAAGAGTGGGTCTAAGGATAGCATCCGTTTGGTGGGGCTTTCCTGTGAACTGTACACCCTATGCGTGGAAAGTTTGTGCCAAAGGTGGATGCCCAGTTAGGAGCTTGCTCCTATGCTTCTGGTGCCAAACCAACTTCCAAGCCTCAAAATTGCAGAGCTGGGGGCTTTGTCCATTGTTTGCAGCTTAGATAGTCTGGAAGATTCCTGTGTCACAGAACTGAACCAAGCCCTCACCTGGCCCCAAGACTAGGTCAGAGCCAGCTACCTAGCCAAAAGCTCACAGCCTGTGTTCTGGTCTCTGGGCCCTCCCTCTTCTGCAGCAGGGAGGGCCGAGGAGGAAGTTAGTCAGAGCGAAGCTGCCTGGGGCCTCAGCAGTGGTCAAGGTGTGAAATGTGCACCTGGCTCGTCTCTGCTTCCCCTCCCCCTGTTGTTTTTCATTCTTTCACACCTCTGAGCTGTGGTTTGGTGAGCTAGGAGGCTGGGAGATAAGACACCCTTGTGCCCAGTCCCTCACAGGAAAGAGGGCCCCTACACTAGGAACAAGGGCCATTTCCTTCTGTCCTCCAGCCTCCTGCTTCACCGCCTCCTGAGGTCCTCATAACAGACCCCTAGCCAAGCTCCCAAAAGCTTCCGAGCAGCCGCAGTTGCCAGCCCCAAGCCGCCATGAGAGCCTGCCTAGGCAAGACCAGAGATTGTTGAAATGTCTGGGCACTTTTATCTCACACTCCTAGGTCTTGAGGCTTTCTTCCCTTGGCCCCAAATTTCCCAAGGGAAGGAACACTCAAGTCACAAGGAGGCCCAGGGACAAGGCCCAGGGTGGAGTGTGTGCCAGGTCCTTTCCTCTGCCCATAGTAGCGCAGGGCCCAGGGACTACGTGGGTCAGGCATTTGGCAGCTGTGCCAAGGCTGATTCTACCTTGGGAGCTAGATGAACCCCAGCAGGGTGATATGAATATGTGACGTTTGTTGATAATTTTCTCTCAGGGGCTGTGCTAAGTGCTTTGCTATTGTTATTGTGTTAGGTTTGACATAAAGTCTATGTAGCCCAGGCTGGCTTCGCACCACTGTTAGGTCTCAAACCCTCCAAAATGGCACTGATTGTGTCCCCAAATAGCAGTCTGGGTTCAGCTCAGGCTGGACTCTGACAGGGTAAACAGAAGAATTTCTAGTGGGTAGTCAAAAGCTTGGACTCAGCATTCCTCGGAGAACCATTTCTGTTGTCAGGAGGAGCCATTATATTGCCTTCCTCTGGCAACCTCTGCAAATGGGGTCTCTGAGTCCCTGTTACCACACACCTGTAGCTCACGCGGGTTCTTATTACCACACACCTGTAGCACATGTGAGTCCCTGTTACCACACACCTATAGCTCATGCGAGTCCCTGTTACCACACACCTGTAGCACACCTGAGTCCCTATTACCACACACCTGTAGCACACGTGATTCCCTATTACCACACACCTGTAGCACATCTGAGTCCCTATTACCACACACCTGTAGCACACGTGATTCCCTATTACCACACACCTGTAGCACACATGATTCCCTATTACCACACACCTGTAGCACACGTGATTCCCTATTACCACACACCTGTAGCACATGTGAGTCCCTGTTACCACACACCTATAGCTCATGCGAGTCCCTGTTACCACACACCTGTAGCACACGTGATTCCCTATTACCACACACCTGTAGCACACGTGATTCCCTATTACCACACACCTGTAGCACATGTGAGTCCCTGTTACCACACACCTATAGCTCATGCGAGTCCCTGTTACCACACACCTGTAGCACACCTGAGTCCCTATTACCACACACCTATAGCACATGTGATTCCCTATTACCACACACCTGTAGCACACGTGATTCCCTATTACCACACACCTGTAGCACATGTGATTCCCTTTTACCACACACCTGTAGAACACGTGATCCCTATTACCACACGCCTGTAGCACACGTGATTCC